AACCCCTAAATTCTGTGATTCTATGGTGCAGCCTCTGAGTCTGTCCATGGTCCTTGGGAAGGGCACTGCAGGGTTCTTCTCCTGCAGCCCCAGCACACAGCCCAGCTCTGCCACGTGGCTCTTGACTGGCTTTTATAAATGCACTGACACAACAAATTATTTTCTCAGTATTTATTTACCCCCTGTTCAAATGAGTGTGTTTTGGTGAGTGACTTACGATGGGATAGTCTGTCATACTGGAATTTTGCAGGAAGGATTGCCAAGTAATTATGGAGGTGTTCTGATTACAGATTTGTTTCCCTTCTAATATTAGCCTTGCTTCCAAGTAATCTGCTGTCACCCTCTTCTTTGGGCTGTGTGCCCAAGGACATCAAAGCTTTTGTACAACTGTTACTCTGTGAAAATGCTGTTCTGTTTCCCTAACACTCCTTCATGCTGTCACTGTCACAGCTTGGGACACTGGAATAACCTGCGTGTGCTGAGTGTCTAAAATCACCTTTATGCAGTAAACTCTCCACTTCTCAGGGGCATTTCCTGCTTAAATGCAACATCTCTCAGTCAAAAACCTTTCTCAGGGGCATTTCCTGCTTAAATGCATTATCTCTCAGTCAAAAACCTTCCTTTTGCCCTTTCTGGGCAGTTTTGAGCATGGAAAGTTGTCCTGTGGTCTTTGAGGGATTTGATTTGAACCCACACGTGGTAGCTGGAAGATGCAAGAGGGAATTGGGATTCTGTTATAGTCAGAACATGTTCTGTACCTGTGGATTAGTTATCTGATGGCTCAGCATTTAGAAGTGTCAGGAAGATGCTTTCTCTGTTGTTTTAAATGCTGCAGCTGTGCACCAACTTCAGTGACTTCAAATGCATGTGTTGCCCCTCCAGCCTGAACATCCCTTCAGACAGTCAAAGGATACTGAAGAGAGGCTAAAGGTCATACCCAAATTCTGCTTTCCAGATCCCAAAGACTGGTTTCCTGCATCAGACCTTAAAAGGTAAAGACTTGGGTTTGAACACTTGTGCCTGAAACAGGCAATGCTGAAAGCTTAGGTGTGTGCCAGAGGAACTGCAGCCAGAGTGAGGGAAAATGGGAAAGGCTAAATCCCTCACCCCTGTGCAGGGGAAGGTGAGATGAAGTGGGCTTAGAGTGCTGCTTCTGCCTGAGCACTGTCTTTCCTTTAAGGAGCAAGTCTGTAACATTTGTCCCAAGGCCAACTGTCAGTGCTGGAAGTGCTGCTGCTGCTCCTTGGCAGGATGGAGAAGCAGCTGGGGAGGGGGAGAGATGGAGAAGCTAAATGAGAGCCCACAGGGTGCAGGTTTTTATCCTGAACAGAGCCTGAAGTCCTTGCTAACCACAGCCAGGAATCTTCAGCATGACCAGAAGGAGAATGGCTTTTAGTGTGTGTGGTTGTCAGTCTCTGAGCTGTGTGAGTTTAACCCTGACTGTCCTTTGGTTCCCCAGTGAAACCTTTTCCTTTGTGCTGACGGGTGAGGATGGCAGCCGCTGGTTTGGGTACTGCAAGAAGCTCCTGGTAAGCATCTGTGTGTGGGTTGGAGTGTACAGAATGCATGGGTATGTGCACAGACAAGGTCAGGACATGAATCAGGGGTCACTGCCCATGTGGGTTACATAGTGTCTGTGCTGCTGCTGAGGTCACCAACCCTCTGAAAGCACGAAGGAGAGAGCATGATGATGCCCAGAGATACAGTGAAATAGGGCATGAGAGCTCCTGGAAATGGGCATTCCTCAGGAATCTTTGAAGTCCTAAGCATAGAGGGAGCTGCAGCAGAAGGAATTCTGCAAATCAGCTGTAGTGTAGGTGGTAGATTATTTATTGCATCCCTGTTCTCAGCAGAACTGTTCCTGTTGCCTTTCAGCCAGAAGGGAAAGGGAAGCGCCTGCCCGAGGTGTACTGTATCGTGAGCCGCCTGGGCTGCTTCAACCTCTTCTCCAAGGTGAGCTGAGGACAGCCTCTTACTTGGGGCTCTGACAGCCTGCAAGCTCCAGGAAGTAACTGGATGCTTCTGTCAGGTCTAGAATTGCTAAGTGATTGCAGCTCATTCTGGGAGAGTGGTGCTTCCTTGCTGCCTTGGAGAGGGAAAAGAAAATGATACTAGTGTGGAGACTTGTCAGCTGATAAACAGATCCTTCAGCAAATATTGTCAGGAAGGGGCTTCTGATTCCTGGTATTGCTGAGGGTGTTCCTTCAGCCTCTTCTTCCATGACTTGGAAATGGAAGATCAGCTTGGGAGGGGGGTGGATCTGGCCTTGTGTCTCCTAGCACCAGTGAGAGGTGAAGACTGGGGAAAGCTGCTGCAGGTATTGCAGAGGAATACAGGGACAAGCCTTGAGGGAAGCTGATTCTGATTGTTGGGGCACAGTTTCTGTGAAACAACAGTGCTTCAGGAAGGTTTCTTGGGGAGGAGGATGGGGTTTTGCTGCTCTTACCCCTCTAAGTAAGAATTTGATTACTACATGCAAGATGTTTCCTTGCAGTAGCAGGAGACTGGATTTGAGAATGGAGAGTTGGACTCACAGGAAGCTGTGCCTGTTTGCTCAGGCATTTGAGAGGAGCTTTCACAGGGATCCAAAGTGAGGGGAAAGAGGGCTGTGAGTCTGTGCTGGGGCCTTCACCTGGAGCTGTGGCCCAGGGGGCTCTAACAGATGCTCTCAGCTCCTCTGGCTCACCAGCAGGCATCAAACCAGTGGCTTTTCTTGCAGATTTTGGATGAAGTGGAGAAGAGGAGAGAGATGTCCCCAGCCCTCGTCCACCCCTTCATGCGCAGTGTGATGGAGGCTCCTTTCCCTGCCCCAGGACGCACGATCACCGTCAGGAGTTTCCTGCCAGGAGCAGGAGATGAGGTAATGGAGGTCAGGAAGGGCTTTCCTGTGTCAGTGGGGCCTCTGGGGCACAGAGGCTCTTTGCAGAGTGCCCTGTAGAGTGATGCATCCTGCCAATAATTGGTCTGAAGATAACAAGTCCTGCAGTGCAAAGGGAGGCTGCCACAGGAACCAGCTTGCTGTGGAATCATCTGCCATGGAAGTGATTCCCTGATTTTTATGGAAGATGTGCTGGGGAGTCCTCTGTGCTGCCCCATGCCAACTGCCTGGGCTGTGGGGCTCCACTTGGAATCATGGAATCACAGAATATGAGCTGGAAGGGGTCCACAGAGATCATTGAGTCCAACTCCAGCCCTGCACAGGACACCCCAACATCCCACATGTCCCTGAGAGCATTGGCCAAACACTCTTTGAGCTGTCAGGCTTGGGGCTGTGACCACTGCCCTGGGGAGCTGTTCCAGTGCCCAAACACCCTCTGAGGGAAGAACCTTTCCCTGATATCCAGCCTAAACCTCCCCTGACACAACTCCAGTTGTTCCCTGTGTCCTGTCACTGGTCACAGGAGATATATCAGTGCTGCCCTTTGTGAGGAAGCTGCAGACCCTGACAAGCTCTGCCCTTAGTCTCTCCTCCAGGCTGAGTGCCCACCAGCTCTGGGCTCTCCCTGGCCTGCCCTTGTCCATCCAGCTGCTGGGAATGCCTCCCCCAGCACTGTGTGTCTCACCCTCAGGTGATGGAGCTGTGCCGCCCCTTGGACTCTCGGCTCGAACACGTTGACTTCGAGTGCCTGTTTCAGTGTTTGAGTGTCTCCCACACCATTCGGGTCTTTGCCTCTCTCCTGCTGGAAAGGAGAGTCATCTTTGTGGCTGACAACTTAAGGTAGTGAACCAATCTGAGTGAGCAGTTCTTTCTGAGGGACACTGGGTGCTATTATTTCTTCTGTGTCTGGGTCTTGTCCATGTGCTTGTCTAGCTTTTCGTGATTAGTTACATTTAAAAGCTTTGTGCACTTTCCACACAACATGTGCTTGCTTAGGCTTTGGGGTGTGCTGTTCACCCAAGAGGAGATACAGGAATGTTTCCTTCACCTCTTTAGTCTGGGTTGATGCTGTTGTAGCTCCCCATAATTGGCTCTAGAAGTGGGTGCATGGGGTTTCTGCTGATGCACACATTGTCCCTGAGCATTGCTAACCTGTGTCTGTAGCTGAGGCCTGAAGGAGACACTGATGGTGCACCCTGTGCTTCTCTCACCTTTCCAGCACTCTGTCTAAATGTGGCCACGCTGCAGTCGCAACGCTTTACCCCTTCACCTGGCAGCACACCTACATCCCAGTCCTGCCAGCTTCTATGATTGATATCGTGTGCTCTCCGACCCCGTTCTTAATTGGCATTCTCTCCTGCTCCTTGCCACAGCTCCAGGACCTGCCCATAGAAGAGGTGAGAATGGGGTGAAGCACAGTGGAGGGACAATGTCCGTGGGAGGAGGCTGAGCAATCTGGAATAATCCCTGGGTTCTGTCTCCATATTAACTCTCAAAGTTCTCTGAGATGGTTGGTGAACTTGCCAGATATATATCAGGTTGTTCCAGTTCATATTCACTGTTCTTAGAGACAGGCTGCAGTTATGCAAAACTTGGTTTTAAACTCCATTTAAAAACAAAATAAATGTTTGGGTTTTTTCGGTACAACATACCTGGTTATGAGTCAATGTGTTTTGCACATCTTTCCTCAGGTTCTGATTGTTGATCTTTGTGCTGACAAGTTCTTGCAAGAGGTGAGTGAAACACCAGTCCCAGTCACTCATGGTGCTATGCCAGGAAAATCAATGAAAGAAAATAATCACAAGGAATCAGCAAACCTGGTGTTCATGTGTAAACTCCAGGGGCTGAAGAGATGCCTTGTAATACTTTGTGGCTAACAGAGAAGGGAACAGGATTACAATCCTTGTTGCAAGGCTGAGGTTGATGAGGTGGAGAGCTCTGTGAAGCCAAAGGTGCTGCTTGTCTGAGCTGAATTTAATCACTGTTACTTGGTTTATTTTGTGAAGGGGAACACTTAAGATTCTGTGCTGCTTCCTGGCTCTGTCTCCCTGTACTTGTTCTGTACAGAGCTTTCTCCTCTCTCATCTCTCTGGGGTGTGTTTGTTGGTTTGGGTTGTTGTTTTTCCCAGGGGTGATAGTCTAGGGAAGAAATTATCACAGTTGAACTTCACCCAAAGTTCTTCTGCATCACCAGACAAGTAGCTACAAACACATTGGGTTATTTGTTGCTAGTTCAGGAGGATGTTTGCTTCTCCTTTCCCTTGCCTCACTCTTCTGTTTTGCATTGCAGCCTGCAACTGGAGAAAGGTATTAAAGGATTGGGTGTTTTTTTTTAAACCATAACATTGAGACTTGTCATATTTTCTCAACAGACTTTTGTTGTTCTTGTGTGTTTTACTGGTGAAATGAGCCTGAGTCTGTCTGTGGCTATAGCACACGTGTTCTGTGTTGGCCAGTTGTGTGTGTGACTCTAATAGAATGTATTTGGAGGGTGCTGAGCAAATGTTTTTCATTTCTGTGCCTGCAAGACAAACATAATGTCTCCCCCAAGATACACCATATCACAGAGTAACTCCCCTCTAACTGCTTTAGGTATGCTGTGAGTATCTCTAATCCAATCCCTCATTCTGCTGATGACAAGTATAATACAAAAGTCCTTCCTTGGCCATTTCTGTGTGTAGGTATCAGATGAAGATGAGATCCTGCCTCATAAACTCCAGGCTGCACTTGTACAAGTCTTGGAAGAACGCAGTGAAATCCTGTCAAATGGGCAGAGTGACACACAAGGTACTTCTGGGAAAAGTGTCTCTGGAAAGCTGTTTTCCCATTAGCAGATCTCTACAGCTGCCAGGGAGCTGATATAAAAATGAGTGACATTTTTGCTGTTTTCCTGTCATCTCCTGAGAACATCTTCCTTGTGAATGAGTTAGAAGTTTGGTGTCCTGACAATTGTCCTTCTTTTCACCATCAGTATGTGGCAGAGCTATAGTTTCCCACTGGCCAAGAACATCAGTTCCTGTGCTTTGAGTTTGATTTTCTTAAGAGAGCACAGCAAGTTCCTGTGCTTCAGATGGTTCTGACACATGATTTTCAAAGCTGAACTGCTTTATACATTAACCATCAGATCAGTAAGTGTGAGAAACTTGAAAAGCTCTGAGTGGCTTGAGAGAATGGCACCAGCAAATGGTGTAATTCCATGCATATCACAAGTGAAAAGGTTAGTTTTCCTGCAGGTTTGTGATCTGTAGTTTCCTAGTTCTTTGAGAGAGTTAAATTTGGACTGTTACAAGCTCACAGCTTGTTAGGCATTGGATGTTTAACAGGGGCAAAGAAATTCTGAATGTTTTAACTCCTGGAAAAGCTTTAGAAGCAGAAAGCTGCCATGGGAAATTGAATATTTGAGCTGTGACTCCTTTGATACCAAACCCTCCTCTGAAATTCCATAGTCTGGGACAGCCAGACCAAAGAGCAACTGAGGTTACAAAAAAAGCTGCTCTAAAAGAAGAGGAATGACCAAAGGAATAAATGCAGAGGGAAATCTCTGTGTCCTCTTCACAGGTGAGATGACTCTGAACTCCCTGGTGTCCGAAGCTTTTGTGCAGTTCTTTGTGGAGATTGTTGGCCACTACTCCCTGCACATGAATGTCACAGAGAAGGGGGAGAGGGTGTTCCAGCGGGAGCTGTTCCGGAAATCCCACGCGTCGCGCAACGTGCGGCAGTTCCTGCACTTCTTCATGGAGACACAGATGTTTGCAGGGTTCATACAGGACCGAGAGCTCAGCAAGAACGTGGTCAAAGGTGGGTTTGATCTTTCTCTGCTCCCAGGCAGCTAGGGACAGGAGGAGAGGACATAGTCTCCAGCTGCACCAGGGGAGGTTTAGGTTAGATGTTAGGAGGAATTTCTTCCCAGAAAGCGGGATTAGACACTGGAATGTGCTGCCCAGGGAGGTGGTGGAGTCACCATCCCTGGAGGTGTTTAAGGAGAGGTTGGATGTGGTGCTTAGTGGTTGACATGGTGGTGTTAGGTTATAGGTTGGATGTGATGATCTCTTTTCCAACCTGATTGACTCTGGGATTTCTTGTTTTACAAACTCACTTTCAAAGCATAATGTGACTCTGACTCTTGAGAAGCCTTTTGTCCTGCAAGTTATCCTGTTGGCATTTTGGCATATGGAATAGCTTCATGTCCTTCTAATTAGTCAAGAAAATTCATCTCTTAAAGCAGAGAATTTTTGCATCTGTCCTTTCTGGGCTTGATCCTGCAGCTTACATGGGCTACATGCAGGATTTCCTGTCATAACCTTGTTCATCATGTCAGATACCACATGGAAATGATGGAGTAGCTCCTCTAGGTGAGGGATTTTTAATTTTTTGTTTCCTTTTTCTCTCTTTAGGCCTTTTTGAGGTTCGTGCCTTGGAGTATTTGGAGAGTATTCCAGAAACAGAACGAACTGGAATGAACAAAATCCTTCGCAGTCTTGGTAAAGGGACACCCTTGATTTTTGTTGGGTTTTCTTTAATCTTTTAATTAATTTTAGCTATTGGATAATGAATTCGAAGCAATGGAGAGCAGGACCTCTTCTTTGCCTTGTGCACTCGTGTTCCTTTGTTTACATTTGCCCCTTCAGGGGATGCTGAACACTTTGTAGGATTTGTCTTTTATTTTTAAGCTTTTGCACCTTTATCTAGAGTTTGTGGGAGTTGCTGCTCTGAGACCTGACCAGGCTTGAGCCTTGACTTTGGTCTTGGCTGAGCACATGCTCAGGGGGCAGGAACTCTGTCTGGCACAGAGGCTGTTTCCACCTTAAGTTCCTCAGCCAGATGAGTCCTGGAGTGTCTCCAGCTCATACAACCACGGAATGGTTTGGGTGGGAAAGACCTTAAAGCTCACCTTGTTCCACCTCCTGCCATGGGCAGGAACACCTTCCATGAGACCAGGTTGCACCAACACTTCCAGGGATTGGGCAGCCACAGCTTCTCTGAACATCTCCCTTAAATATCCTAACGCTCTTTTTCGTCCCCAGGCAGTAAAATGAAGTTTCTACAGAAGAAGTGACGGGCG